AGCTTAGAGAGTCATTTTCCATAATACAGACAGTAAAATTCCTTCTATACTCCAGCCTAGAGTGACTTTCTTGTACAGCAGTTGTTTCCATTGGGGATGTACCTGCTATCAAGGGGTTTTTCTGGGTTGAGGTCTTTCTCTTTTCAATGGTTGTTTTGCTTTTTATGGAGCTTAAGTGTGTTCGGTAGGAGATGGGTTGCTTTGTTGATGTGGCACAATATTTTTCTGAACTTAGTCTTGAAAATGGGCTGTAAACTCCCTTAAGGGTTTGAGATTAGAGACTAGTCATCTTGAACTTTGTAGGCTGAGCTAGATTCAGGACTGGTTATTATATCATTATTATTATATTATTTATATAGCGCCAGAAAAATTCCATAACGCTGTAAAATGGGTGGACTAACAGACACGTAATTGTAACCAGACAAATGGACGCACAGGAACAGAAGGGTTGAGGGCGCTGCTCAATGAGCTTACATGATAGAGGGAGTGGGGTATAGAGACACAAAGGGTATTAGTAGGGGAAATGAAATAGGTTACTAGAAAAGTAATCGCTGAGAACTTATAAGGTTATTTTTGACAGTTGCAGGAGAAGAGTCATGGGGGGAGGGTGGAATGAAAGTCCGCTAACAGTTTAAATTATATGCTTTCCTGTGTGTGTGTTTTCAAAGATTTTTTAAAGGAGTGGAGACTGGGTGAAAGTCTAACAGAAAAGGGAAGGGAGTTCCACAGAAGAGGTGCAACCCTGGAGAAGTCTTGGAGACGAGCATCATATGTGGGAGTATGGACAGAGGATAGACGTAGGTCTTCGGCAGAGTGTAGTGGCCTCAGCGGGACATACTTGTGTATTAGGGGGGGATAGGTAGGTTGGAGCAGCATTATGTAGAGACTTGTAAGCAAGCACCAGGATCTTAAATTGACCCCTATAGCTAACTGGAAGCCAATGTAAGGACTGATAGAGGGGGGAGGCATGGGAGGTGTGGGCAGACAGGAAAATGAGCCTTGCTGCCGCATTCATAATAGATTGCAGCGGTGCAATCTGGGAACACATAGGACCACTGAGAAGGGGATTGCAGTAGTCAAGACGAGAAAGAACAACAGCATGGACCTGCACCTTAGCCGCGTCGGGTGTTAAATAGGGGCAGATGAGAGCTATGTTTTTGAGATGGAAGCGGCAGGATTTGGCGATCGACCGGACATGAGAGGTGAAGGAGAAGTCGGTGTTAAAGAGAACACCTAGGCAGTAAGCCTATGAGGTAGAGATCATGGTGGCGCCGTAGACTTGGAGGGAGGGAGACACGGAGTAGCAATACTTGAGGGAGGAAAGACCAGAAGTTCTGTTTTGGACAGGTTGAGTTTAAGAAAGTGAGCAGCCATCCAATTGGAAATTGCAGAGAGACAGTCTGAGACACGAGTCAAGATGGGCGGAGAGAGATCAGGAGAGGACAGGTAGATTTGCATGTCATCTGCATAAAAAAGGTAATGGAAGCCAAAAGAGCTGATGAGTTTACCAAGGGAGGCAGTATAGATGGAGTACAGTAGGTGACCAAGGACTGAACCTTGGGGGACACCAACAGAGAGGGGTTGGAGAGAAGAGGTAGAGCCAGAGAAAGAAGCACTGAAAAAGCGCTGGGAGAGGTAGGATGAGCACCAGGAGAGAGCAGTATCTCATCTACAGAGATTATGGAGAATGAGAAGAAGCTGTTGATGATCAACAGTGTCAAAGACAGCAGAAAGATCAAGGAGAACTAGGATAAAGTTATGGCCGTAAGATTTAGCAGTGATACTTTGGTCAAAGCTGTTTCAACAGAGTGACGAGTGCAGAATCCAGACTGAAGCGGGTCAAGCAGAGCGTTGAATTTGAGGAAGTCTGTCAATCTCGCATACACAACTCTCTCAAGGATCTTTGAGGCAAACGGCAGTAGCGATATAGGGCGGTAGATGGATGGGGAGTTGGGGTCGAGGTTGGGCTTTTTCAGAATTGGCATTATGGTTGCATGCTTGAAGGATGAAGGAAATGTGCTGGAGGAAAGGGAGAGATTGAAAACTTTAGTGAGAGGAAGAGCAAGAGAGGGAGACAGAGTGTGGATAAGATATGAGGAAATAGAAGCAGGTGGCAGGGCGTGAGGACTGGAGCAGAGCAGAAACCTAGTATTTGCGAATGAGCATAGAACAGTGGAGTGAGTGGGGTTGGGTGATGTATTGGAAGATGTATTGGAAGGAGAAGGAGAGGGATTAGAGATCTCTTCCCTGATTGTAGAAATCTTCTCAGTGACATGAATTGCAAAGTTTGAGGCGGAAAGGGTGGTAAGAGGAGAGGGAGCAACAGGGCGGAGGAAGCATTAAAAGTGTCAAATAGGCTGTGGCAAACCTAGCCACTAAAGGACTGAGAAAAAGACTTTCAAAATTCGAATGAACTGTGATTAAAATGGCCGTATTGCTATTGGGAAGATTATCTTTAGGCAATCGGTTCCCGAACTGTATTCCCTACCTTGTTCATGAAAACGATGTAAAATACCGAATGAGGGGCCAAGCAGGTGTAGTCGTGTGCCCCTCATTACCGAAAGGCAACAATGTTGCAGAGGTTGTTTATTGGGATTCGTGTGCGGCCGCCATTCGCATGCCGAACACGTGGCGGCGGCCATCTTATGCACGAACAGCGGTGTTTGGTCGTCGAGTGTTTTGAACTGAAATCGGACACTCAACTAACCAAGCATCGCTAAGACCTCCAGGACTCCAGAAAGTGGCGAATAAAACACATGAACAGGCCACCATTCGGCATAGACTTTCGGGACTTTTTACATGTGAACTGAGACCGACCGCAAGCCAAAACTTATGGAACTATTTTCAGCTACTGTGCCCGTGCGGTCGGTCAAATCTTTACTCCTCAATAATTCCCGAACCCCTGGTCCGATCTGGGTGATTTTTGAGTATGTTTCTCACCCAGATCAGGGCTACCACGGGATACCTTGTTTAAAGGTGTACACCCCATATTTGGGGTACATCCGAGAATTGGGGAAAAATGTGTACATTTTAATAAGGTTAACTGTTAAGCTAAGGGGAGGAGATGTGGGGGAGGTACCGACTATGTGATTGGATACTGTAATAATTATGAAAGTTGCCTCCCTTGCATGGAAAAAACACATAAAAGCAGAGCTTGTGCATTAAAGGCCAGTTGACTCCCAGACTATGCGTCGTCTAGTCCTTGGGGAGGGGAATTATGCTGTGTCCTATACTTTTTGTATGCTGAATCTTTGTTCCAGCGGAGAGTCCTTGGATTAACCCTTGTTACTCCGCTACATAGGCATTTAGGTTGGTGGAACAGTGTGCTTATGACGGTGTTGAAGTTATTTACTTTTGCAAAGGAAAGTACCAGAGGGTAGGAGGGCAGCATAAATTTATAGTGGATGAAGTCAGGTGCAGATTGAGGGTGGTGAGATTTGGGTACAGGATATGCTGATGTCAAAGTTCAGCAGATGGTGGTCAAATAAAGGAAATGGAACAATGGATATGGAGAGATTAGAGGTGGTACAGAGATTGGTGAAAATGAGGTCAAGAGTTTTTCCTGCTGTATGAGTTTCTGAAGTAGACCACTGTGTGAGGCGAAGGAGGAGGTTACAGAGAGCAGACAGGATCATAAAGGACAAACCTGGTAAACCCAGAATGTTCTTTAGCCATATTCTCCATAATAATCTTAGTAGATTAGCTGCTCCTCCTCTAGTTAATTTAAGATATGATATCTCAAACAAACAATATTAAAATAATATCTAGACATCCCTTTTCTCATTCTATGTTTCTATTTCATGTGGCATGTTCTTCAGTGACGCTTACTATGGTGAGAAGACCATGAGTAGTGGAGACTATGGGGGTAAAATAAATGAAGGAGAAACTTTGGAGGCAGCACAAATACTCTCTTCCCCCATTTCTATGTGGTGTGAACTGAAAAGTGAAGTGGACAAGCTTGTATATATCCACCTATTTACTAAAGTAAGCTTACCAAGTCCACCCTCTATAGAGATCCAGACAGGTACTAAGACATGAGGTTTTTTTATTTATATGCATTTAATTTTAGCTATTAGGAGAGCTGACTTTGAACAAGAGTATTAGCATCCAACAGTTGATAGGAACTTCAATACCCCCACTCCAACATTTAAGTGATAGTACAATAGGATGCTGGCAGGCTTCTGGATGGGTTTATTATACTCAGTCCTCTAGGCACAGTGTGAAGGAACAGGAGTGTGAGGGAACAGGAGTTGTCCCACTTTGTAGATTTGAGGGAGCTGTCCCGCCAGTTTTATAGGTCCTTAAGTAATACTTTGCACACAGAATAGATAAACGTGTGGCTATGAGAAATTCCCATCTAGGTAACTATCTCTCCAATGTGTGCAATGATAAGCAAGATCTCATTGTTTCTTGAGGGTTTTTTTTGTCCTATTCACATCATATCTACTTGATTTAATGATTTTTAATGTAAGCTTTATACTTTTCAGTGCATAACTTTAATGAAGCCTTAGTCAAATTTGCGAATACACTGTGAACTATTAATGGGTAAAATAGACAGGCATTGTACTAATGATAGGATGTTTTTTCAACCACCTAGTAGAGTTGAACAGTTTATAGCCATTCTTGAGCTTTCTATGTATGGCTGTGAGAAGGGAAAAATAGCTAAGAAATGTAATCGTTACAGTGATTTCACAGTTTGAGGAATCTTTTTTTATCTTTGACCCAGGTAAATAAACAGCTAAAATACCTTAAAAGATGTATGCAGGCATATTGCTGCATGTTATGTGACATTAAATTGAGTTCTATGTTACTTACAACCAGGGGCGTACTTGGAGCATTTGGCACCCATGGAAGGTCCTATTTTAAAATGTAAAAAAACAACCACATTTTTTAAAACTGTATTTAGCACAGAGCAGTGTTTGTGTGTTTGAATGTAAGCATGCTTTTGTATGGACATAGGCGTGCGCAGCCTATTGCATTAGGGTGTGCACCCTAAAGCACAAGCACACGCCGCGTATATATATATGTATGTATGTATATATATATATATATGTGTGTGTGTGTATATATATATATATATACACACATACACATATATATACACATATACACACACATACACAAACTGCTGTGTGTGTGTGTGTGTGTGTGCTGTGTGAGGGTGCTGTTAGTGTGATGTGTGTGTGACGGTGCTGGTAGTGTGCTATGTGTATGAGGGTGTTTGTGTGTGCGTGCTTGTGAGGATGCTGTTAATGTACTGTGTGTGAGGGTGCTGTTTGTGTGTGTGTGTGTGTGTGTGCGCTTGTGAGGGTGCTGTTAATGAACTGTGTGTGAGGGTGCTGTTTGTGTGTGAGGGTACTGGTAGTGTGCTGTGTGTGTGTTTGTTAGGGTCCTGTTTGTGAGGGTACTGTTAGTGTGCTGTGTGTGTGTGTGTGAGGGTGCTGTTTGTGTGCTGTGTGTGAGGGTGCTGTGTGTGTTTGTGAAGGTGCTGTATGTGTGTGTGGGTGCTGTATGTGTGTGTGGGTGCTGTATGTGTGTGGGTGCTGTGTATGTGTGTGGGTGCTGTATGTGTGTGGGTGCTGTGTATGTCTGTGGGTGCTGTATGTGTGTGGGTGCTGTGTATGTCTGTGTATGTCTGTGGGTGCTGTATGTGTGTGGGTGCTGTGTATGTGTGTGGGTGCTGTATGTGTCTGTGGGTGCTGTGTATGTCTGTGGGTGCTGAATGTATGTGGGTGCTGTGTACGTCTGTGGGTGCTGTGTATGTCTGTGGGTGTTGTATGTGTGTGTGATGTATGTGGTTGGGTGATTGTGGGGGTGGAGATGGATTACTTGCTATCCCCCCTCCCTTCTTACCTTTTGTAGGGAGGGGGGATCGTGCTGCTGATTCCATCCCTGGTGGTCCAGTGGAGAGTGAACTCTAGCCCCCTGTGGGGCTAGAGTTCACTCTCGCGAGATTTGAGCGTTGCCGTGGCAACGCTCATATCTCGCGAGAGGAACCCGGCGGAGCTGCCGGCAATAGCTCCGCCGGGTCCTCTCCTGCCTCCCTCCCTGCATGTGGGTCAGTGGGGAGGGAGGCTGAGAGCAGAGCCGGCGCTCGGATAGCGCCGGCTCTGCATGAGCCGACAGGGGAGATCCTGAGATCTCCCCTGCCGGTCTCAATATACATAGGCGTGCCGCGAGGATTAGGGTGTGCCCAGGCACACCCGGCACACCCCGTGCGCACGCCTATGTGTATGGAGTATGTGTGAGTGAATGTAGGGATGTGTTTATATGTAGTGTTGGCGTTTGAATGCATGTGTGTATTTGTGTGTAGTGTTGGCGAGATTTTGAGATGTATGCACATATACACATACACACACATACACATTGACACACATGCAGATATATAAATACACACATGCAGATACACAGACACACATTCACACACAGATACACATGCAGACATAGTGGCAACTCTAGGAACAATATATAAGGGGGGCCACATAAGATACCACAGTCAAAACGGGGGATGGGGGGGGTGGAGGAAGCACTAAAACTTTTCACTTTTAGTCGGTGGGGTAATGTGCTGCCATGGGCTGTCTGATGCCAGCATGCTGTGCTCTGCATGCTGGCATCTGACAACACTTTTGCATAATTCACATGAGCCACCCAGATTTATTGATGTGGGCTGGCTGACACCTCTTAACTTTGTTCGTTGTTTAGCAGATAACTCCCCTATTTGCTACCCTTATGTGGGATTGCCATATTTAAGGAGCTATCTGCTAAACAGCACCCTTGTTTGGTATCTTTAAATATGGAAATCTCACATAAGAGCATCAATTTAGGTAAATATCTACTAAACAGCTAAAAGATCTAAATTAAAAAAAAGCACTTTTCTTAATTTCAGCTGTTTAGTAGATAAATCCCTTATTTGTTATCCTTATGTGGGATTGCAATATTTAAGGACACCAAATAAGGGAGATATCTACTAAACACATACACATTTACATACACACAATAACACAAACGGCTACTAGATGCATACTTGCAAGAACAGAATATTCAAGGATATAATCTTTCAATGTAGGGTAATAACTGCTTGATCCAAGGATAAATCTGACTGCCATTCTGGGGTCAAGAAGGAATTTTTTTCCTAGCTTGTTGCAAAATTGTGCTTCAAACTGGGTTTTTTTGCCTTCTTTTGGATCAACAGCAAAAAACAAATGTGAGGAAGGCTGAACTTGATGGACGCAAGTCTCTTTTCAGCTATGTAACTATGTAACTATGTAACAATAGATGTTTGTCTGTGTGTGTATATCTGTGGTTGTGTGTGTGTGCAAATATATATTTACAGATATACACAAACACAATCACAGACTCACACACATACAATCACAGACACACACAAACATTACATACATACACACATTTAATAATTAAGAGGTCCACCCAGCCTCCCTACCTTCCTCTAGAAGGGCTGGAGTGGATCCTCAGTCCATGGTGGTCAATGGTTGCTGCTGGGATCTCTGTGCTCTTCCTGCACAGGTCTCTCATGCCCGTGGCCGCAATGACATCATATCCCGGCTGCTGGCTCACTGCAGGGTGAAGACCGTCAGACACAGTCAGAAGCACACAGTCCCATACACACAGTCACACAGTTACAGGCAGACAGTCACACAGGCAGTCACAAGTAGACAGTCACACAGGCAGACAGTCACACACACAAATTCACAGGCAGACAGTCAGCCCTTTGCAGCATACAGAACGCCAAGCCTGGTGGCACCCGGGGTGGACCCTCCCCTCCCCCCCACCCCTCCCCTTTAGTACGCCACTGCTTACAACTGACATTGAACATGTTAGATTATTATTATTATTTAAATTTTACATTCAGTTCTTATAGGTCAAGAAAATTCATTGTTAAAGTGTGTTTCTGCATATGTCTTTCGGAACATTAACCGGAATACCTTGTTTTGTGATTGTGCCTTTAAACATTTTTTGAAATTCTTACAATTTTCTGGATAAAATATATCAAGCTTCAATTTAGCAAAAGGTCATCATCATCACACTGTAGCACATAAAGTAACGTCATTCATCCCATTATTCATTTCTACATACCCCAAATGTTTTAATATATTTCAGCTTTCGATTGTGGCTTTTTTTTTTTTTTAACTGTCAGCTTCTTTTATCTCTTTCAGCTGACACTTTGATACAGGCACAAAAGTAGATAGCCTTTTTCCCCAGCAATTACTGTTTCTCTGTCACTGGCAGAGTACATATTGTAGGTCCTTTAAAAGATGACTTGTGAGAGCCACTCAGTAATTCTCTGTAGGGAGGTCAAGTGGAAGACTTTTATTGTTTAATAACTTCTATAGTTAGTTTCAGCATTTTTATGCTTTCTGAGCAGTGACATTAAGCATGACATAGGAAAATGACATTTAAATATAAAGATAAATATAAGTAAATAAAATATTTAAACAATTATTTAAATATGTGTAATTGTACACATAAGTAATGCACAAATAAAATAGCATACAGAGGGTCTATACATTTTCTAATCTAGTCAGTTCAAAGTATGAATCCACAACCTAGTGATTTTTGTCTATCGCTTTCCCTGGTCAATTTGAGTACTGAGCCACTGCCTTTGAATTCAAGATGTTTAAAGTATGTTTACATTTGAATAAGTGGACTGTACACATGTACAAATGATACAAATGTTAAATGTATGCTTTGTGATACACTCTCTCAGTTTCTGAATTGTCTCACCCATATATGGAGTTTTAGTTTTTAGTTTTAGTAAATAGGCTGTTTCTGTGTATTCACAAGTGAAAAAGTATTTAATGTGACATTGTTGGCCTCTAGGTGGATGTGTAATTTGTAAGCCTTTAAGGATTGAACTGCACAAACTGCAGCTTAAACATGGAGAGTTGCCAGGTTTTGTAGTTCCTAGAAATCTCTCCGACCAATTGATCGCAAATTAATCTTCCCCTTCTTTAAGCCATTACTGGTCTTGAGAACAGAAAGAGTTAGGAATGAATGAGAGAAAATGAAAGGGAGTTTTACATTTGTTTTACACTCTTGCAAAAGCCACAAACATGTTTAAAGGACCACCACTCAGCTTAATGAAGTGGTCTGGGTGCATGGTCCAGCTAGGGTTAACCTTTTTTCTGTAAACATAGCAGTTTCAGAGAAACTGCTATGTTTACCTATGGGTTAATCCAGCCTCTAGTGGCTGTCTCATTGACAGCCGCTAGAGGCGCTTCCGCGCTTCTCACTGTGATTTTCACAGTGAGAAGACGCCAGCGTCCATAAGAAAGCATTGAGAATGCTTTCCTATGGACTGGCTGAATGTGCGGCATGCGCATTCAGCCGATGATGGAAGAAAAGGAAGGAGAGTCTCCAGCGCTGAGGGAGCGATTAACCCCTTCCTCTCCCCTCAGCGCCACGAGTATGTTTTCCTGGCACTATAGTGATTGGGAGAGAACAATAGGCTGCTTATAATGCTGGAGTGAAAGTATTTAATTATTTATAGCTAAAGCAATTAAATATATAATTAATATCTATGTTCAACTATATAGTCATTGCATTGTTAGCCTTTGCCTTAAGTTCAAAATAGTTTTATTTATTTCAAAACAACAACAAAAACACACCTCTGAACCCATTTTGTAGGCCAATGCAGAGTAGTTGTTTCCACAGAGCACAGTAAATATGTACACCCCATAAAGTGATGGGGGAGAGAACAAGTAGGTTGCTGGCAGGCTCCTGGCCTGGTTTATTATGCAGTTTTTATTTTTTAATTTTTTTTAAAAAGACATCTCTGAACCCATTTTGTAGGCCAATGTAGGGTAGTTGTTTCCACAGAACACAGTATATATGTACACCCCATAAACATTAGGAAGTCAACCTTGTGTTATTATTTGTGAGTTTTCTGTTTTTTCTGCTTTATGTTTTTTAATTTGTTCACTTTTCCCCACATTGTCAATTTAAATGTAATAAAAAAATAAAGGTGTTTAGACCATAAGGCTCACTTGGGGTCAAGTATGTCTGTGTCAATGAGTGTCAGAGGCCATAAATCATAGAATTAAATAAAATAATTTGTAACAAAAATTGAAGCCTAATCACATTGAGATTTCTCAGGAGATGACAGATAATATAATGTAAACTT